ATTTCAACTCTTTTCTTCATCCATTTGTATGTCCGTTTAACTTATATTGGATTTCTTTGTCTTTGACATCCGCATCTCTTCAACCTTGGTACGTTTTTTTCTTTTAGACCGAATTCTACACCCCATCTCACGTATTCTGATTAGGAAAATGATTGAGGCTATGATTATCCTGGCAGCTATTGCCTTTAAAACACTCCTTTTCTTTTCATAGTATGTGATTTGGCTTCCTTATAATTTTATCCTAGTCATTCCACGGATTTTGAGGTGCACCGAAACTGGCTTGCTGTCACATATAGCACTCCGCTTAGCCAATGGTATGAAGAGGTAAGGTGGCGTCCTCTTTTAAAATACGAATCTCTCCTTACAGGCTACCAGCCATTGGACTCTTGATTACCCACCACTGTTTGCCGCAGTGGAATGGTTCTTAGCTCAGTTTGCTTCCTACATTGATCCCAGGATGCTGATTCTGTCGAAAGATCCCTACGTCTCTTCATCTGTGATAATTTTTCAACGCTGCTCTGTCATCTTCATGGAGCTTTTGCTTATCTACGCTGTTCACTCGTAACTGCCAATTTTTTTTTCTTAACTCCATCTCAACTAGGCTGCTGCTTAGCCTCCTTGGTCCGACGACTAGAGGAAACCGAGCACTGAGGTCTGTTGCAATGGCTCTCTTTGCTTTTAACTTTGGGTTATTTATTGTTGATCGTATCCTTTTATAGTTCCTTCGTTTCTTATCAGTCTAAAATTTTTTCCCTCTTTGGGAAGTTGCCAATCTGGAATACTCAGTCGTTATCAGTTATTTAGCTATTACACAGTTGCACTAATAATGCCAGATTTTTCAATGCGGAGAGGTTTTAGTTGAGTCAGTTTTCATTTGTGTCTGAATTCGCCACTTAAAGTTTGAGTTTTTTATTACAATTACAGAGGATCTGTCAAGTCCTTTGAATAGCAGACCCCTTATAGTTAAATTGCATAGGTACGGTAGACTTGCTGGGCATTGGTCTGGTTTCTGTACTAAACACCTGCAAGACACTTGGGATCTAGAAACTTCGGCCAACCGGCTATCTGATTTACCGATACAGCCTTTCTAATACTTATTTAAAACGGTTACGTATTCATTAAAGTCTTTGCAAAATAACTCTGTGTTCGTCTAACGTATTTTTACATTCCCATTTATTAAATGGACATTTCCGTTTCATGAGATACTTTCGTCAACCTTTTCAGTACTGGGATTCAAATAGCCTTGCGCCCACTTGAATCAATAATAGTGGGCAGAAGTCGACCGAATTGGTCAGTGGGCTTACTGTCCCCTCGTGGATTCCGACTTTGTCGAACTCGCTTCTTGATTCAGAACTTTCTTTGTGGACCAAGCCTTGAGACTTATCGCTACCTTTTAGCACTAACCCCAAGGTTTTATACGTGTCTGTGCATTGACGCCGGAGGTTTTAGCCTCTTCTTAGAAGGCTAATGTTAACCTACGAAATCAGCTTTCTCTAAGAGGTTTCCTCTCTTGTTCCAGTGATGCAGTTGTCGAATAGTATGTGGTGTATGTCAGTTCGTTAATATAGATAATCTCCAGACTGCTATGTCTATTTACGACTCGGGATATTTACATCAAACCCGCACTTGTTGCAAAGTCTGTCCAGTCGCTCCACCCATTTTCCTCGTACTGGTCGTCACTCCTTGCCAAGGTGCTTGATTTAGAGAAGTTTGTCTGGTCTGTTCAAGAGTTCCCATGTTACCTGCGCTTGTTTATGATGTAACGGTGACATCTGATGTGCGTCACCGTCGAATTACGCCCTTTGGAATCCCCAAGGAAGAACACAATAAGAAAGGCATAATTCTGGAATCCATCCGGAGGAGGGTTTATTGTGTTCAAAACCCGGGCTTGCTGTCTCGGGTGGTAATTGCCGCTGGTTGATCTCCATCGTGCTCTTCGTCCCGCCTCAGGGGCAAGCCCCGGCATTGGAAGCGGACTAGTGCGTCCTCGCTATCCGGTATGTGATGCAACTCTCCCTGCCGGCTAGGGACAGTGGCTTATAAGAGGTTGTCTGCGCGTTCTCTTGTGGCC